CCTCACAGATTGCAAGGACCTTGTCAGCTTACAATCCCTTATTTTTTTATTTTTTATGCCTACAGCACTTGGTCTTCCTAGGTGGTATCCCATCCAAGTAGTAACCAGGCCTGACCCTGCTTAGCTTCCGAGATCAGATGGATCAGGCTTGTTCAGGATAGCACTGTCGTAGACTGATAACTAATCCCTTTAAATCTTCTATTGTTTCTATGAAACAAGTGGGGACACCTGGTAAGAGAGGGGATAGCATTGTCCCTATTTACTGCTTTTCCTCCATTCAAAATACAAGTGTTATTCTTTATAAAGTTTGACAGAAGAGGGTTTCAAGCTTCTTCTACTTCCTGATTTAATAGCAATTTCTTTTTAATGATGACCACTTTAACATATTCAAATGGCCTTTTATCATTTACTCATTTGTTGAGCAAATATTAGTGAGTTTAGTCCCAAGTGCCATGCAAATGTAAAAGCACAAATCTTGCCCTCAAGGAATTTATTGTTTAATAAGAGAGAGAATGAGTGCAAGGATAATTGTTACACGAAGTGAAACATGTAGAGAAGGAAGAGAGCTCTTCCTGCTCTCAGGGTCAAAAAAGACTTCTGAAGAAGAAAATGAGGTAATAATGTATTGTGCCTGGCATATGGTAAATGTTCAATAAATCTGGCTATAGTATTATTATTCTTGTTATTATGACATAATGGATAGAAAAACCGTCATAAACAAAGGTAGATGTGGGAAAATGTGGTGCATTACAAAGAACGGTTTAATATAACTCAGATAAATGGAGAAAAAAGAAAGTGTGAAGGGGAGTTCTAGGAAATACTATAAAAAGTCTTCAGGACCAAATCAGAAGAGGTCTCTAATGATAGGCCTCAGGGGTTTAGATTTTATCCCATAGAGTATAAGGTTTAGATATAATTTTCTCTCTCTTTTTTCTGCAGATCGCTTCGGAAAATGGCTGTTGGTATGATCCTAGCATGCCTGGCATTTGCATTTATGGCAGTTGTAGAGATAAAAATTAATGTGAGTTCAATAAATCTTAAGCTCCTTGTTTATTCTTCTGATTTCCTGAGATCTAGTACAGTACTTATTTTAGAAGGTGCACAATAAAAATTTGTGATAAATGAATTGATACAGGGATAGAGCAACAATGCAAAATGAGGTTCATCTCCCACCTGAGTGATTCAGAATATATTGTCAAGGAATTTCCAAACACTATATCCAAGGCAGCTAGCCTTCTCTTTGGAAACATAGGCTTAGATGATACCTTACCAGATACTCAAACAAATACCTTTTGGCAGATTGAATAGACACTACTAGGGAATGATGTATAAGATCACAGCTGAGTCAAAAAGTATGAAGTTCGTTAACTGGCATCTGTGCTTGCTACATTGAGCTGGTGCTTCCCCCTCAAAACTGCCTTCAGAGTTTTCGAAGCTGAATGCTCTTCAGAGGGAGAAAACTGTGCCTTCCTGACTAGATGAGCTAGGATGTCAACAATATAAGTGAAATATGTGTTCTTGTTTTATCCAAAGGGTTATTTGTTGATGATTCTGACATGTATTTTTTGTCCCAAGGAAATGGCCCTACCCCAGACAAATCCCCAAGAGATTTTCCTACAAGTCTTGAATCTGGCAGATGATGAGGTAAAGGTGAGAGTGCTGGGAGATGAAGACAATTCTCTGTTGGCAGTGTCCATCAAATCCTTTCAGGTGAGATACAGACTTTAATGAATTAGAAACACATTTTGGTTATGTACCAAAGCAGCAACATAATTTAGTGGTTAAGAGCATGCATTTGTGGAGTCAAACTGCCCCAGTCCAAATCCTGGTTCTGCCACTCTCAAAATAACTTTGAATAAGTTATTTTATCTCTAAACTTCAGTTTCAGCATCTGTACAATGGCAATAATTTTTATGTCAGAAGCCACTGTAAGGATAAGTATTATATATAAAGGACTTAGCATAGTATTTGGGACACTGTAAGCTTTCAATAGGTTGTAAAAGTTTGGCTTGCATGTTTTCACTACTATTACTTACCTACTCTGAAATATTTATTTAAAAATATTTTTAATAATAAAGGTAATATACATTTATTATTGAAAATTGAGGAGTATGTAGTAAGACGTAAAAACCACCTATAATTCCATCACCCAGAGACAATCACAGTGATCATTTTTGTATATATGAATAAACAAACTAATTTTTTTAAATGCTCAAACTCTATGTGTACTGACCTTGATTTTTTTTTTTTTAATGTTAATTGCATCATAAGCAAATTTCCCATGACCTTAGATAATCTTCGGTAGCATGATTTTAGTGGACACATAATATTCCATTCTATGGATATATCATAGTTTGTTTAAAGATTTCCTTATAGGTATTTAAGGTTTATTATTATATATATTCCTATAATGAATATCCTTACTCATAAATATTTATGCATGCCTCTAATTACTCCTTTGGTTTATTCCTAAAAATGAGATAACTAGTTTAAAGGATAATGTCAAAAGTATCTGATGTGGTTGTCTGCCCTGGGATGCTCTGAGATCGTGATGTCCGAGAGGGAGTAGAAGGTGAGCGTGATAGGTTTTTCATTCTATAGAAAATGCCACACTATTCCAAACTCCATTTGAAGACAAAAAAACAGAATTTCCACTTCCACCTGAAATACCACAATTTGTCTGTCTACACTGAGCATTCTGTGGAGGAGAGGAACTGGTACAGTCTGGTCATTCGAGAAGATGGGAAAAGTATTTCCAGCATAATGGTAAGTTAAAGAATGGCCTAGGTTCCAAATTGTTATGAGTATGATGACTGGCTCATCAATATCTTACCAAGGGTATGACAAATGAAACATTTTATGATTATCGGTTCCCTGTTGTCAGCTATAACTGATTTTTACTTTCCTCTTTTTAAGGTGAAGGATGCAGAAAACATAACAACCAATGGGATGACAGCTGTGAGGTTTGGATGTCAAGGAGATCCCAGGCCACTCTGTTCTCTTGAATCTTGGGTCACTTCTGATCTGTGGGGTTTCAGACGAAGAGGCCTCACATTCTATTTGTCTTGTACAGGGGTTCTCTTTCATAGGGTGTCAGAAGGCATTTTCCAGGACACAGAATGGATAGAATTGCTTTCCCATGTGGTATTCAAAAGTGACCCTATATCTTTGTATGTCCCCTATGCCCTGACGCATATATATCTTCTACTGAATTTTATCCATGTATCTTGTTTTCAGGAAAATAACTCAGTACTTTCCTCTCCGTGATCACCAGAGAGAAATTTAGAAGTGAACAAATAATCCTTCATTGTTGATAGTTGAATATCTCTTATTGTTATGGTGTTTTTAAGTATAGTTTTTATTATAAACTTATAGAGGCATCATGGTGTAATAAATGTAACAAATTTGGTTTTCAATCCAGGAAGGCTGAAGGTCTTGTCAGACAGCCTGGGACAGTTACAGAGATGGAGGTCACCTGCTTTCTGTGGCAAGAATCTGACATGAAATAGACAGATACACATGCCTATGGTCGTCAAGATTAGGTGGTTTCCATTAAGAATAGATAGGACTTCCCTGGGTCAGAGATCCATAGGATCTTCCAGAAGGGGGTGAAATAGGAAATTTCTGAATCAGTGCAAGATTATCTAAAGTCCAGGAATCACCATTAAGGATTCTAGAGGATACTGTCCTTATTATCCCATGAGCCAGAGATCAATGCAAAAGCTATCAAAATGGAAATGTACCAAAAACCCACACTGATGACACAGTTTAGGGGCCTAGGTTAAGAAGACTAAACAGATTGTTCTGGAAGGGTCGAAGATTGTATGCAGACTCCAAAACAATGATAATTTATTATGGGCTGGGAGTCTGAGCTTTGCATAATTCAAATCAGACTTCATTTACAAGAGGATAAATATCAGTTTTATATTTACAAGAGGATAAATACTGTATATATTTATATGTATATAATTATTTTTCTCAATGGAGTATCAGTTGGTGAATCCCACCATTATAAAAGGGAAATACATTGAATACACCGAAGCTGGATTAATGAGCAAACTCAGATTGCCATGGATGATTATGACAGTGTTCATCCTAGCTAGAGATTTGGTGAGGGTGTGGCGAATGGAAAGCTAATACTCCAGGAAAGAGAAAATTATGGACAGCTAAGAGTAGTGATTACTTTTTACATTTGAGTTCATTTACCAGTTAATGATATACATCACATACCTTTCATGTGCCAGCGACTGTTCTAGGCACTGGGGATTTAGTGATTAAAAAAAAAAGAAGAAGAAAAGAAAAGGCCCCTACCCTTTTATCATGTGTCTGTTTGGGAAGGTTTGTCTGATCTATAATATTGTTTCTATTCTTAGGTTTATTAACACTTTGCATAACGAGGTCAATGTCTCCCTGGGTACAGATATTTCCCTCAGTATTGGTGAAGACTATGGTGTGTCTGCTTATAGAACTGTGGAAAGAGGAGAGTAAGAGCATTACCTTTTGGACATTTTACTTTTAGCAATGATTGTTTTTTAAATGCTTTCTTTGCATATAGGTAGGGGTATATCAAGATAGTAGGTAATATTGAATATACAGACTCTAGCTCTTTTTCAACCCTTGCCTCCTTCCCTTAGTCTCACCTTTTCCTACATAGATATATTGAGATCATGACTGCTGCAAAGACCATACTATGTAGTTAACAAGGCCCATCTCTAGGAGATTTGCAAAGTTTGTTATTGGCTCCCATTCCTACACTTTGGTATTTCCTATTGGCACATCACTACTTCAGGCTTATCCTTTTAGGTTCAAGTTATATGCTGTTTCACTAATTCATAAGACTGGGATGGGAAAAATTCATTAAGACTTAGATGAGAAGACTTAGGTCTCGAAGTCCTAAGATGATTTAGTTTTAAAGTTAAAAAAAAAAAAACCCAACAGATCAGGGATGGAAAACCTGGCATGAAAATAATTCACTCCTAGAGAAATGGTGGCTTTGCTGCTTGACACACCATCAGTAGAGAGATAACTCTTTTCCCTGGTAATGGGATTACTTTTCTAAGCTGTGATGTTTATTCTAACCTAAATATCTCCTATTCCAGATACACTGTGGTACATTGTAAAACAGAAGATGATAACTTTTCTCTGAATTTGGGTCTACTAGACTTTGGTGCATCTTATCTGTTTGTTATTACTAATGTAAGTAGTTCATGGTCGTCCCTACTCTCTCCTTCCATATATCTGTATCTGTAACTGTATCTATCCTGGAATCCATTGAAGACTTTATGGCAAGACAGGATCACATATTTATTTGTAGGGTAAGATGATAGAGTCTATAATGACTTTAGAAAGCCTACTGTGGTTTTCATAGGGGACATTAAAAGAGAAAACATTGGCAGCAGGCACAGGGCCTGGGGGACTGGGAGATATACTTTATCTTGAATCATTACTATGAGGTGACATAGTCTGCTTCAGTCTCATTATGGCTCTAAGAAAACAAAGAGTATGTCTTTCCGACTGGCTCCACAGGCAAGTTACCTATCTCCCTAAAAATTTACCTGCTAGCATATCACAGTCTGAAATACCAATACTGATAGCAAATGTCAATCTCTACATAAAGTTTGGGTGATCAGTTAACTGTGATCCATCAAAAGCAATTGTCCCAGCGATTACGGGAAGGTAACTCTGAATTTTAATTTTGATGTCAGCATTTTTAAATTTAATTTAATTTTTTATTAAATTTATTGGGGTGACATTGTTTAATAAATAAATTGCTCAATAACACATCATCTGTATATTGCATTGAATATTTACTACCCAAAGTCAAATCTCCTTCTGTCACCATATATTTGACTCCCTTTACATTTATCTACCTCCCACCACCACCTTTCTCTCTGGTAACCACTAAACTATTGTGTGTCTATGAGTTTTTGTTTGTTTATCTTGGTCATTTGTTGCTATCAGTTTTATATCTTACATATTAATGAAATCATATGGTTCTCAACTTTTTCTGTCTGACTTATTTTTCTTAGCATGATTATCTCAAAATCCATTCATGTTGTTGAAAATAGAGATATTTCGTCTTTTCTTATGACTGAGTAATATTCCATTGTATATGTGTACCACATCTTTTTTATCCAGTCATCTATCAAAGGACACTTCAATTGTTTCCATGTCCTGGCCACCATGAATAGTGCTGCTATGAACACTGGGGTACATATATCTTTACAGATAAATGTCTTCAAATATTTGGGGTAGATACCCAGAAGAAGAATCACTGGGTCACATGGTAATTCTATCTTTAATTTTTTGAGGAACCTCGATACTGTTTTCTGTAGAGGCTGTAACAATTATATTCCCATCAGCAGTATATAAGGGTTCCTTTTTTCCCACAACCTCTCCAACACTTATTATTACCTGTCTTGTTGATAATAGCCATTCTTAAAGGTATGAGGTGGTATCTCATTGTGGTTTTGATTTGCATTCCCCTAATAGCTAGGAAATTGAACATCTTTTCATGTTTATTGGCCATTTGTATGTCTTCTCAGGAGAAGGGTCTATTCAGGTCCTCTGCCTATTTTTTAATCGAATTGTTTGTTTTTTTGTTGTTGTTGTTGAGTTGTATGAGTTCTTTGTATATGTTAGATATTAGCCCCTTATGAGAGGCATTGTTTGCAAATATCTTCTATTCAGTTGGTTGCCTCTTTGTTTTGTTGATGGTTTCTTTTGCTGTGCAGAAGTTTTTTAGTTTGATATAGTCCTATTCATTTATTTTTGCTTTTACTTCTTTTGACTTTGAGGCCAAATTTATAAAATCCTCTCTAAAACCAAAGTCCATGAGTTTAGTATCTATGTTTTCTTCTATGCAATTTATTGTTTCAGGTCTTATATTTAGGTCTTTGATCCATTTCGAGTTAATTTTAATGTATGGTGACAGATAGCAGTCTAGTTTCATTCTTTTGCATGTGGCTTTCCAATTTTCCTAGCACTATTTATTGAAGAGGTTTTCTTTTCTCCATTGTCTATTTTTAGCTCCTCTGTCAAAAATTATTTGCCCATGTTTATGTGGGTTTATTTCTGGACTCTCAATTTTGTTCCATTGGTCTGTGTGTCTGTTTTCTGCCAATACCATGCAGTTTTGTAGTATAATTTGAGGTCAGGCAGTGTGATACCTCTAGCCTTGTTCTTTTTCTTTTTTCTAAGGATTGCTTTGGCTATTCAGGGTCTTTTATGATTCCATACAAATCTGATGATTTTTTTTTGTTCTATTTCTTTAAAAAATTGCTATTGGGATTTTGAAGGGGATTACATTAAATCTATATATTGTTTTGGGTAATATGACCATTTGAATTATGTTGATTCTTCTAATCCATGAACACAAAATATCTTTTCATTTCTTTGTGTCTTCTTATTTTCTTTTAATAATGTTTGGTAGTTTTCAGTGCATATGTCCTCTACATCCTTTGTTAAGTTTATTCCTAGGTATTTTATTCTTTTTGTTGCAATTGCAAAATAAATTGGTTTTTTTATTTCTTTTTCTGAAATTTCATTGTTAGTATATAGGAATACAATGGATTTTTGTATGTTGATTTTGTATCTTGCCACTTTACTGTACTTGTTTATCGTTTAAAACAGTTTTTTGGTGGACTCTTTAAGGGTTTCCTTTTTTTTTTTAATCTTTATATTTTTATTTTTTTCAATTATAGTTGACATACAATATATTAGTTTCAGGTGTACAACAGTGATCAGACATTTATATAACTTATGAAGTGATCACCCCCAATAAATCCAGCACTCATCTGACACCATACATAGTTATTACAGTACTAGTGACTATATTCCCTATGCTATATTCTACATCCCCATGACTATTTTGTAACAACCAATTTATACCTCTTAATCTCTTCCCTCTTTCACCTATTCCACCTCCTATTTAGGGTTTTCTATATAGAGAATCATGTCTTCTTCAAAAAGTGACAATTTGACTTCTTCATTCCCAGTTTGGATGCCTTTTATTTTTTTCTCTTGCCTGACCGCTCTAGCTAGGACTTCTAATACTATATTGAAATAGAATGGCAAGAGTGGGCATTCTTGTCTTGTTCCTGATCTTAAAGGAAAGGTTTCAGTTTTTCACCATTAAGTATATTAGCTGAGGGTTTGTTGTATATTGCCTTTATTATGTTGAGGTATTTTCCTTTTATACTCATTTTAATAAGTGTTTTAATTATAAATGGATGCTGTATCTTGTCAAATGGAGTTTTTTGGCATCTATTGATATGACTGTATGATTTTTTAATTTATTTTGTTTATATGGTATATCATATTAATCAATTTGCATATGCTGAACTATATTTTGCCCCTGGAATGAACACCACTTGATCGCAATGTATAATCTTTTTAATGTATTGTATTCTATTTGCTAGAATTTTGTTTAGAATTTTAACATCTGTATTCATTAGAGATATTTGGTATGTATGTCCTTTTTTGTGTGTTAATCTTACCAAGAAGTATTGCCCTTCTTCAGTTTTTCAGAAGTATTTGAGAAGGACAGGTATTAAAACATCTTTTAATGTTTGGTAGAATTCATTAGTGAAGCCATCTGGTCCTGGACCTTTACTTTTGGGGAGGTTTTTGATGATTGTTTCAATTTCCTTACTGTTATAAGTCTATTTAGATTTTTCAGTACTTTGTGATTTAGTCTAGGAAGGTTGTATATTTCTAAGAACTTGTTCATTTCTTCTAAATTATTGAATTTGGTGGCATATAATCTTTCATAGTATTCTTGTATGATCCTTTGTATTTGTGTAGCATCTGTTAAAACTTTTCTTTCATTCCGATTTTATTTATTTGTGTCTTTTCTCTCTCTTTTTTTTTTTTTTAGTAGTCTGGCCAGGGGGTTGTCAATTTTATTGATTGTTTTAAAGAAACTGCTCTTTGTTGCATTAATTTTTCTATTGCCTTTTTGTTCTCAATTTCATTTAATTCTGCTCAAGTTTTTATTATTTCTTTCCTTCTGCTGACTTTGGGCTTTATTTGTTATTCTATTTCTAGTTCTTTAAGATGTAGTGTTAGGTCATTTATTTGGGATTTTTTCTTGTTTCCTGAGATAGGCTTGTAATGATATAAACTTTTATTACCACTTTTGCTGTATCCTAGAAGTTTCGATATGTTGTATTTTTGTTCTCATTTGGTTTTTTTGGTATCTCTTGATCGCTCCTTTTATTTCTTCTTTGACCTATTCATTGTTTAATAGCATGTTGTTTAATCTCCACATATTTGTGGATTTTCCTACTCTTTTTGCAGTTGATCTCCAATTTCAAAGCATTGTGGTTGGAAAATATGCTTGATATGATGTCAATCTTTTTTAATTTGTTGAGGCTGGTTTTGTGTCCCATCATATGCTCTATACTTGAGAATGTTTTATGTGCACTAAAGAAGAATATATAATCTGGTGTTTGGGGATGAAAAGCTCTGTAAATGTTGATTATGTCCAATTGGTCTAATGTGGCATTTAAGGCTGATGTTTTCTTATTCTTTTTCTGTTTGGATAATCTATCTATAGCTGTCAAAGGAATATTTAGGTCCTGTACTCTAATCGTGTTTTTGTCAGTTTCTCTCTTTAGTTCTGTTAGTAGTTGCTTTATATATTTTGTCACTCCCTGATTAGGAGCATATATATTGATAAGTGTTATGTCTTCTGGCTGTATTGCCCCCTTTATTATTATAAAATGTCTATCCTTGTCTCTTGTTACCTTTTTTATCTCGAAGTATATTTTGTAGGTATAAGTACAACTACACCCACTTTTCTCTGGATGCCATTTGCTTGGAGTATCGTTTTGTCACCCTTTCACTTTGAGTCTATATTTTTGCAGTTGAGATGTGTCTCTTGAAGGCAGCATATGGTTGGGTTTTGTTTTACAATCCAATCTACTACTTTGTGACTTTTTTATTGATAAATTCAGTCCATTTACATTTTGGGTGATCATATATATGTTGTGTTTCTGTCTGTTATTTTAGTTTGGTGGTATTCTACATTTTCCTCTTCTGTTCCCTCTTTTTTTTTATATTATATGGCTCAGTTCTAGATTTTTTTTTCTGTGTAGTAACCATAAGTTAATGTAAAAGAAAGTTTCATATATACAGTGTTATATGGCTCAGTTCTAGATTTTTTTTCTGTGTAGTAACCATTAAGTTAATGT